GAGGGTAACGTGATGTCACAGTACAGAGGGTAACGTGATGTCACTCAGTACAGAGTGTAACGTGATGTCACAGTACAGAGGGTAACGTGATGTCACAGTACAGAGGGTAACGTGATGTCACTCAGTACAGAGGGTAGCATTAACTGTGACTGTCCTCTGTCCTGTTGTTATTTACCTTCAGTATTGAATATTGTTCTTTCATTTCAACTGGGTAAAGAAAAGCTCATTTCCTTAGAAATAATAAAAAATATGCAGAAACCTGTATCATTCTATTCTTCATGGACTCTTCGCCCCAAAACGGATCCTACTAGTTTTGAGGTCCTGCTAGTATAAGTATTGGTTAGCATGCAATTAAAGTAGAATAATTTTTTCAGATAGATTTCTTCATATTTGTGTCTTATATACTAGCATATTATGTTTATAGTAAGAAAATGTGTATTTGGTAGCTAATTTTCAATAGTATATCGCAAATAGTCTTCAACTAATATCTGATAACACCAAAATTAACAAAAATTCTTTAAAATATATTATCACTTTTATACTACTCCAATTTATTGTAACTTTGTGAGACTAGTGTAATAATTTCCCATCTACTTTTCTAGTGATCTTAATTTTATTGATAAATTTTATCTCTCATCCAAATCAAAATATGCCCAAAATACGTTAATACTCACTACCATTGAGTCAATTCTGACTCATAGCCACCCTATAGGACAGGGTAGAACTGCCCCTGTGAGTTTCCAAGACTGTAACTCATTACAGGAGTAGAAAGCCTCGTCTGTTTACCGTGGAGCTGGCTGGTGGCTTTGAACTGCTGGCCTTGTAGTTAGCAGTGCAGCCCATTAGCATGACACCAGTTGGGCTGCTTAAATACATTCATTGTATAAATAATTTGAAAGTAAAATATAGTTATGTGTAACAGTCTTAAAACATCAGTAATTGAGGTAAATGTAACCAAAATTAAATGATTTAACTAAGTTTGGTTAGCTATGGTGGAAGGCTTTACATTACATGGTTCATTGTTTTGTTTAGTGTTATTTCACTGTGATTTTATTTTCCATTCTTTTTTTAATCAGATATCTTAAAATTATCATTTAAATTACTCTCCTTTTACATGTATAGATATTTCACGTAAATTATTTCCGTGGGCAGTGGCTTAATATGCTCTTTCATTTACTGGAGGCCAGGTAAATATGGTGCACAGTTGACTAGGATCCCAGGTTGTCAAGAGAATTGTGAAGGCTTTCATTTAGAGTTCAGTGGATTTATTATTTAAAAAACTATCTTTGTTAGTCTACTATGTGGCCTTTACACGATATTGTAGCTGTTGAGGATGCTTGGATTTGTCATCACTTGATAATCCTGTTTTCTTTCAAATAAACTCAATTCTAGCTATTGATCAGTATGTGTCAATTAAGTATCCAATATAATGAGCTCAGGTTAGCGACCTTGATTAATCTGTATTTTTTGAAGTGTAAAAAGGATTCTCAAGCAGTTAATGCATGCCTCTTACTCTATGGTTTTATGGAAAACCATGACAAAACCCAATAGGTACAGCCTATGCCTTCCCCACTGCCAGCAATTCCAATTCATAGCACCTGTACAGGACAGAGGACAGCTGCTCCCTCTGGTTGCTGGAAGCAGATGCCTCTTCCTCCTCCCTCAGAACAGCTGATAAGATCAAACTATCAGCCTTTCTTTCAGCCCCCAAATTCTTAAGCCATCATGCCACCAGGGCTCCTTTATGTCTTAGTGCGGTGATTTATTCCCCCAAGAGTCCACGGTCCCACACTCTTGAACTTGTGGATGCTTCTGGAAGCTTTCCCTAATCTGTTAATCTAGTAGATCCTTCTCAATTGATTTTACCAGCCATAACTAGTTTAAGTGTTGTAAACATGTCTTTGCACACATGCTTTCTGATTTTAGAATAACAGTGCTGACAAAATAGAATCTGTATTTCTTAGGCAACCAGTGAAGACCTTTCAATGACCAGTTCCAGTCTGTTCTCAAAATCGTGCCTACTGATACCCTATGGGGATGATATGCCTTTTCTCACCCTTCTAATTCATTATTTGTCTTCTAACTTGGTTTTAAATCTGTTATCACTTTTCTACTACAACTTATTTTAATTTAATTAATTTAAGGCCAATTGAACTCTTATTCATGAGATAATTGTTCATCCAGACCTGCCCTAAGCATGGTGATCCCCAGGTTCCCTCATTCACTGTCACTTACTGTGTTCTGTTTTGTATTAGGACCTCTGTTGACTTATCTCAACTCGACTTGTATGTTTTTTTAAAAATTAAGGTTATGAATCTTTATACTTCTTTCTTTAGCTACTTTCCCTGCAGTACCTTCCATAATGCCTTACACATAGCGATTTCTTGATAAAAACTTGATTGCTTGAAATGATGTAACTATCTCAGTCATTCAACTATTAGCACATATTTTTGAACACCTGCTAAGAACTGTGCTAAGACCTGGGATACAGCAGGAAACAAAATGGACGTGATCCTTCTCCTATAAAACTTACAGTCATTGGGCCCAGCTGGTACTTGCTGTCTGATTTTATGTATTTATTTATATTTCATTTTAAGGATATCCAATACTTAAAAGAATGTTTGATCTTTTATCTATTAGCATTTCTCTATCTATGGCTTATTTCAAGAAATAATTAAGGCAAACTCATATCGTTTTAAAGCACACAGTGAATGCAGCCCGAGTCTCATCTTGCCTTAGACTATTGACTTATCTAAGATTCAGAAATGTTCACCAGAAAAACATCTCACAAGAAGTGGTCTCTCTAACTGTTTCTGACCATGGTATTCTTTTGGAGTATAACAAAATTTGTGGTTTCCCAGTTTTCACTAGGGTGTCATACATTTCTTAACAATGGTCAGAATTATTTACTGAAAAGCAAGCTGAAGATAGGCGATCATGACCAAGATTACTTTGACCTTTCTGAATTTCGTGTTTTGATTAGCTGGCTATTCTACTCATATCCCATTTACAGAAAAACTGTGAAAGGCTTTAACGGCAAGCCAGAAATATATGGAATATTGAAAAGGTCAGTGTGATTTAGCCCATAACCATAGTATTGAAAATATATGTCAAGTCATTATCAAACTTAATTCCTACAACAAGGGCACAAGTAAAGATGGGAAATTATTCCGAATAAAGTATTCTTGTTTCATATTGAAGGCTGATAAGGCAAAGTTCAGAATGCCCTCTTGGCTTCTTTTTCAAGATAACGTAGTAAGTTAGAAATAAATTGTAATTGAATTAAGCAAGACAGAAGTGAGGTAACTAGCTCTTCTGATCTGAGAGTCCATTAGAGTGAATAGTCTGATGACTTCTGTAAAAACGCTACTCGTCCATGAGTAAAGCACATCAGCCACAAACCAATTGAACAGCCGCCCCGTGCTCTCTTTTTACTACAGCATAGCTGTCAATCCGATGGAAACTCCATTTATTTCCATGGAAATGAAGGCAGTGAGTTCAATTTTGCCACCACCCGGGATGTAGATCTTTCTACTGAGGATATCCAAGAGCAATGGTCAGAAGAATTTGAGAGCCAGCCGACAGGGTAAGTAATTGTCGTCTCCCGTGCTGTGTGTAGCACTTACATTTTCCCACTGGACATGTCCTAAATGCACATTGCTAAATAACAAAAGCTTACTTTATATTGACATTCATAATTCTTCTTATGGAGACTCTGGAAGGGGCCACTTATCCTAAATCAGTAAAGAACATTTATTCTCTACTTAATAATCAACTATTTTAATGTATTTCAAATATTTGTGATTATAACACCTTTAAGTTTCCATTGAATCATGTCAGTCTCAACTTTTACTGAAAGGCTCCATTGTTTTTTTTTTTATATTTTTGGAATCAAGGATCATTCTGCTCTTATATTGAGATTGTCTTCAGTTAACTTCCTAGTGTCAGAGATTTATAGATGCTAGTCCTTGATATTCAGTGAAATCTATGAAATTATTTAGGAGGTAACATACTAGCTTTGAAAGACTTATAAAAGAGTCTGGTGTGAGGCAGAAGTACAAGAGACTCGATGGTGAGAATGGTCGGTAGCAGTGTTTTCTGGGGCTCTTGATATTTGGTTCTTCTTTGGGACCCAATGTCTTTAACGTATCTCCTACTAATTGAGCAGCACTTTTGGAAGTTCAAAAAGTTATTAAGTTCAAAGAATCAAAATGTGTGAAGTAATGTGAGTAGAAAGGAAAATCTATAAATGTCTTGTTTATCGTGGCCTCTTTCCCCCAATAATTCCATGTCGTCAGAACACGGGGTCCTTAATTTTTAGTATATGTTTTATGATAATCTCATGAGTCTGAATTCATTTATTGAAGAATTGGATGAAATTAGCATCACATATATTTTCATAATGATTATAAAATAGCCACAATTTAACTATCCACTGTGAGAAACATGTCCAGGACAGAATCGTTGAGATATAAATAGTCACAAATCTCTGGTCTCAAAACATTAAATCAAAACTGGATTGATTACATGCCTGAGTGGGTAGAACACCAATATTCTTTTTTCGCACCCCTCTCATCCCAACTTTCCTCCTGAAGAGGGCACACTTGGCATTTGTCAGGACCCCCATGTTGCTGTCCTGCCCCCCTGTCACAAGGGGCTCTGACACTATTGAAAGCTGGACCTCTACCTCCACTGGCCCAATTCCGCACTTCTCTGCCTCAGGACTCTCCCTCAGGTCCAGCCCCTGGCAGTGGCTAGGGTAAGTCTGTGGAACCGATGAAGAACTCCGAGTTACTACAGCCTCTCAGGGCCCACCACTGACCACTGGAAGCCTCACCTCACTGGTCAGGCCCTTCGTCCCACAAAGGCCTTTTCCTCGAAAGTCTCCTGTCACCTGTGGCTCCATGTTCAGTGTGGCCCAGGTGTCTCCACTAGGGACAGGATCTCCACCGGTGTTGACCTACTTTCCTTTATAACTTGTATAATCAATTCTCAAGGGCTTATCACTCTTCCTTCACGGACCAACTAGATCTGAAGGAGCTGAGGACTTTGAGGATGCTTACAAATCTGCCTGCCTAATCGCTTGACATAAGAGTACCCATCACCACTTCTTTTTCTCTTTTAATTTTCTTTTTTTCAATCATTTTATTGGGGGCTCATACAACTCTTATCACAATCCATACATCCATCAATTGTATAAAGCACATTTGTACATTCATTACGCTCATCGGTCTCAAAACATTTGCTCTCCACTTAAGCCCCTGGCATCAGCTCCTCATTTTCCCCCTCCCTCCCGCATGAACCCTTGATAATTTATAAATTATTATTTTGTCATATCTTACTCTGTCCGACGTCTCCCTTCACCCACTTTTCTGTTGTCCGTCCCCCAGGGAGGAGGTTATATGTAGATCTTTATAATCACTTCTCCCCCTTTCTACTCCACCCTCCCGGTATCAACACTCTCACCACTGGTCCTGAAGGGATCATCCGTCCTGGATTTCCCTGTGTTTCCAGTTCCTATCTGTACCAGTGTACACCCTGTGGTCTAGCCAGATTTGTAAGGTAGAATTGGGATCATGATAGTGGGTGGAGAGGAAGCATTTAGGAACTAGAGGAAAGTTGTGTGTTTCATCTTTGCTACATCACACCCTGACTGGCTCGTCTCCTCTGTGAGACCCTTCTGTAAGGGGATGTCCAGTTGCCTACAGATGGGTTTTGGGTCTCCACTCCGCACTCCCCCTCATTCACAATGATATGATGTTTTGTTCTGGTCATGCCTGATACCTGATCCCTTCGACACCTCATGATCCCATTACCACTTCTATCACCACTTCATACCACTTCTATCTTTCTGGCCTCTGATATGAACAATCTAACTCCCCTTCGCAGTTATGAAGTTTGACTGCCTTTGAAGGAGCTGATCTGATAGAAATCCATTTGAATTAGGGTGTTGGTGGAGGATATTGAAAGTTCTGTGGACTGTCAGAACAAAACCTGCTTGGTAGTACAGCCCGAATACTCCTTAGAAACATGGATGATGAGCTTTTGTCTCGTGTACTTTGAACATAGTATCATGAAACAGAACGTCATGCTTATTTGTCAATCCCACTGAACAACAATCTGACTTTCAAACCCATTTTCTCTCTAATAGTCTCTTTTCTAAGCTGTTGTATCATCAAATTGTTTCTGTTAAAGAATGCCAGAAACGCATTCCTGGAAATCCTAATAGTACACTCAGATCTCTGTTAATAACGCTGGTGACGATTTAGTAAAAAAAACCTTAGAAAATCCCTTCATGAGTTAAATTTATAAATTTATTTATTTGATATTAAAAGCAACCAAACATACTTTACAAAATTGATGTAGTGGTTCAGAGACATAATTGGCCCCAAATTCCAACTAACAAATCAGGCATTCTATTTCACAGAGCACTAATGATAAATGAGAAGTTGTGGCTACATTTCAATCATTTTCCAAAACAAAGAAAGCATTCGCGTTCTTGTGCCTGAAAAAAGAGAAAGTCCATGCAAACATGGAGGAACCTCAGAGGAAATGCACTCGCAAAGCGGCTCAGGGGGTTTCGGTTAAGCGCTTCAGACATTTCTGAGGACTAGGGATTTGCCAAGGTTTTGGTCACAGATAAGAAGCTGGAACTGTCAGGCAGGGCCACTATCATCAGGTGTCTGTTCCAATCACATGCGGTAATGTGCTTGACCAAAGCACCTGTGCCACCCTAATGAGCCCACCATTAATTCATCTGCGTTCTTACAGTGGTTCAATTCAAGGAGCCGCAGTTGGGGCCAGTTTGCAGCGTTTTGCCCCTAGGATTTCAAGCCATCTGACTTTACCCAGAATGACCTCAGGCACACACTGATCTGACAGACCAGCTCTGGAGTTGGCTGTGTATTGGAAAGTTATGAAAGGAAAAGGAGAAACCCTACTATTTTCTGTACTTCGGGTGATGGTTACAATACTGGTTCAGGATGGTGTGTGTGTTTGTGCGTGTGTGTGTGTGTGTGTGTGTGTGTGTGTGTGTGTGTGTGTGTGTCCTCCTCATCCTCAACCTGAAGGATACTATATTGGTCTAGGAAAAATGCTATAATTTTTAATAATGACTTTAGAAAAAAATCTTTCACAAAGTAAACTTATGTGAAGCATAGGTTAAGGGCTAACTGCAACAACAAAAATAGGATCAGGAATTCTGATCTTGAAATTCTTGATGGGTTCTGTTTTCTTATTCAAATTTACTGAACAATTGTGTTGCTCTTCTCACCCACCACCACACAGAGCCTATCATTACAAGCTCACTGCTAAGCTTGATAGAACTAAATAGTACAGCCCCATCTCTTCAAGTCTGTCAGTTGCATTGACTAGATTACTAGCTTTGAGGTAAGTTTCAGATTTTTTTATTTTAATTATAAGTTTAAATGATAAATACAGATATAATTTTATCTCTATCTCTTTTAGCTATGTTGCCTCCCTTAAAAGATGATTAGATTAAATAGAATATGTAATCTTCTCTAATGTTTTCGAAACACCATGTATATGAATGACTGAGAATAATAAAAAGTCAGAGGGTGATAAGAAAGCCATTAGAATGTCTTTTTTGGAAACAACTTTCCCAAATACTCCTGTTTTCAAGACATTCCAGCGAAAATATTTGCTCTTAGATCACAAGGATGCAAGATCTAGTAGCCTTCCGCATCATTAAGCTGACCCAAAACCAACATCGATTGGTTTATTTTAAGTGAGATTTTAAAACTTTTTTTTTCACTTTTCCTGAAGAAGACACAGCTGTTTCTTCAGCAAGAGAGAAGCTTTAATAGATACACTGATAATTTATGTGAATCTTTCCAAACTTTGGCTTAACCTTACAAACACGTCATTTAATTAACAGCTACCATATCTCACTTAGCTTAGGCTGTTTTTTAGGAGGAAAAAGCTTTGTAGAAAACGCATTTCTATAATATAGAATTTATATCCTTGTCTTTCATCCCATTGTGTATTTTTACTAGTCAGATAGTTCTGGAGAAGTCTGTTTTGTGGTCATTACCATGGCTTCTAGAATGTGGGTTCTGATTTCCTGTGGACATGACCATAATAAACACACGCATACCGGTCAATGTGTATGCGTGTGTTTGCTAGCATTCAGCCAATCGGGGACACCGATTCCTGAGATCTTCACTAATAGGAATATTAAGGCTACACATTTCTATAGGCTGTATCATTACATTCGGTAAAATTTTGGTTTTGTGCTAATTTTTCCAAAAATAAAGTCTGTGTCATTGCTGGCACTAAATATTTATGCTACAAAGAAATGCCCCAAGTATGCCCACTCCAAGCTCAGAGGGGCTACAAAGAACAAGGGATAGAAACAGGAAGCCCAGGAGGAAAGGGGGTAAGTGATGCCACATTGAGAGGATTCCAGCCCATGACGTGAAGCAGAATGCGTATCCGTTGTTCAATATAAAGCTGATCTGCTCTGTAAACCTTCACCCAATTCACAATGAAAACTTAAAAGACCCAAGAAATTTGCAAACTGCATTGGGGGGGGGGGGGCGGTAATCCCACAAATGGAATGAATAT